CAGTGAATAATATCAAATAAAGAGATACATGAATGAAGTTCGAAACAGGTATACATACATCCAACGGCCTTGGGCCCATTTATGGTTTTATCTAGTACATTAGATGGCTTCAAGCCCGAGTATATCAAATGGCCTCTGGCCCATTTCATTCATATCAAACGGCCTTCGGCCCAATCATTTGTGTCCAATGGCCTTTGGCTCATTCATTATGTACAGTTTAATTATTCTTTGTAAAATATTGAATTTGATGGCTTGATCAATTTTTATTTTTATTTTCTGTTATGATGTTTTTGTGAATGGAATGTAAATAATCAGCTCTTAGTGAGTGAGAGACGGCACCACCGTCGGAAAAAATAGAAATTTTTAATATTTTTATTAATTTTGTTATATGTTTTACTTTTTGCGACGATATTATACTGTCGCAAAAAATAGAAATTTTATTATTTAAAATAAAAATTTTATTATTTTTTAATATTTTTTGCGACGGCATTACACTGTCGCAAAAAATAGAAAATTTCATATTTTTTATACTTTTTGCGACGGCACCACACCGTCGCAAAAAATAGTGTTTTTGTCAAAAAAAAAAAGACTATTAGCGACGGGATTTTTTGCCGTCTCAAATAACATTTTTAGCGACGGTAAAATAGGGCCGTCGCAAAAAAGTTAAGAAATTTCAAACGTTATTAGCGACTGCACGGTACCGTCGCAAAAAGGTAAAAAATGCCGTCGCAAAACATTAGCGACGGCACTTACCGTCGCAAAAACTCTTTTGCAACCCCTCCAGTTGCGACCCCCTCTTGCCGTCGCAAAAAGTCATTTTGCCGTCGCAAAAAGTATTAGCGACGGCATTAAGAGTATTAGCGACGGTATTTTACCGTCGCAAAAAATTAATTTTTTTGTAGTGCTAGTTGAATTGATTATCATGACAATTATAGTTGTTATTTTTACTATAATTATTTATAAATTTTCTTAAAAAATTATATTTTAATGTGAATTAAGAATCATATATGTGTAATTTTAAGCACTGAAAACAAAATTTTACAGTGCATTTGTAATAATGTTAAAAAGGAATAACAATTCTTCTTTTTTTTCTCTAGGTTCAATTTGTAACATCTCAAATATTTTGGATAAATTTTATATTTATTTTTAAAAAATTTCAATGTTGAGCGTGGTGTCAAGTGACACCACTCACTATACACTAGCCCCACCAGTGGACTTAGCCAAGGATTACCTGTCACTTTATTGATTTAACAGAGTGTTTTTCAATGTATTTATGGAGGGGTAGGTTTCTCTACCGTTCATATCTCAACATGAGAGTACTTAAGAGAGCTATGGAGCTCACCATAGGTATCATTTTGATAATCCAAATTATTCACTTTTTAGGACTTGTTTAATAAAATATTTATACAAAAAATTAAGATGATCAGATATCAATAGCTATAAATTTGAATCATATTTATATTATTACAAAAAATAGATGATTATTCTTGAAATTATATTGGGTATTTACGTGTAGGTCATAATAAGTGAAATTATTATCTAATAGGTCCTATGGTAAAAATTTGTCATAAAAAAGTCATTAATTATAAGTTTTAGCGACAATTTATAAAAATCAAAACAAAAAAAGTCACTAATTGTCAATTTTTAGCGACACATATAAAAAATTGATACAAAAAAATTATTTTTAACGACAATTTTACCAAGACTTGTTTTCAATAACACTTGTTGGGAATTAAGTCTAACTATTAAGATCTATTGGTAGTTTACCCAAATTTAATATTTGTGGACTAGTTTTTTAAAACAAATAGATTCAAACATATAGCTATTAATGTCCAATCACCTTATTTTTTGTATGAATATTATACTTAATGAGTTCAAAAAAATAAACGGTTTGGATAATCAAAATCGGTTTTAAAATGAGTATACCAAGCCCAAATATTCTCTTAAATTGAGATGACAACTTGAAAGAAATCAAACTCTTTATGAAACACAGGTGATTTTTAAAATTCTAAATTCATAATAAGACTTCATCTTTAAAATTATATTTTTAAAACACGGCTTCAAATAATTAAAACCATTTGAAGTCTTGTTTTCAAATACAATTTTACAAACAAAATGACTTCGGAAAAAAAACTCAAAATTAGTTGGGATTAGAAAATCCTCATGAGCCCAGAAAGTACAAGTCTCCTGTTGCCAATAGAACTGAAGAATGAATGAGTTTCGGCCGAATTTTTCATTTTTTATGATTTAAGAACAATTTTTAACATGAGAAATGTCAGGGACTTCTAAATCTATCTCTAACGAAGTGCAAAGGGTTTAAGTCTTGGGAGGTTTATTTTTAGGCAAAGGTTTTTAAACTAATCAATAACTAATATGGAGTAATCCATAACATTATATTTTAATGATTGGACATCTTATTACTCCAAAATATCATGTGGAGTAAACCAATCAATAACTTAATAGTAAAATTTTACCCTGTATTTATTGATCAGAAGAATTTCAAGTACTAAAGTTTCACTACTTTTGCTGGGACAGCAAAATTTTACTCTGTATTTATTAAGCAAAAAAAATTTCAACCAATTAACTGTTTTAATAAATCTCTCTTTTAATATTTTTATTGGTGATGTTGGTGGTGGGAATTCAATATTTAACTATTAGACTCAAGCAATGAAGTTTCGCGGTTATTGATCAGACCGTAAAATTTTACTCTGTATTATTGAATTGAAGAATTTTAAATGATTAATTATTTTGATAAATTTCTCTTTTGATATTTCAATTTGTGATGATAATGTTGATGGTGGGTGTGGTGGCTGAATTTTAGTGTTTAATGTTAATTTTGAGTAGTAAAATTATTTGAACAACAAATTAAGTTGTGTTTTTTTCTTTTAGAATTTCATATCAAATATGAATCTTATTCGATAGATATTGATGAATGAATTTTAAAAATACCAACTTTATAAAAAACAAGTATTATATTAAAAATTATTAAATTTTAAAGTTTAAAAAGCAATTAAAGGGTAGTTTACTCAACAAATTATATCCTCTCACACTCCTTCCGTATCGTTTTCCTTCCTGCAAGAAAAAAGTAGACTGTCCTACTTACAATATAATTCTGTAAAAGAGGTGTACTCACCAAATCTCAAAAAAAAAAAAAAAATTTTTTTTTTTTTTTGGATTTCTTTATTTTTATTTATTTACTTTTAGATTCTACACAATACAG